TTGCTCATGGAGAAGGGTTGTCTGTGGGACAGGCATCATTACCTCAATATGAAGTACCAGGGCCGTGGTTTGGGATGCTTTAAAATGACTCAGCTGGTGGTTTTAAAGGCAGAAGTCTCCAAAAGTGTGTATCCCTTGCTGTGAGTGTGCGACTGCTGCTCATGGTTCCTCTGTCTGGTGAGATGTATGAGCTCACTTGGAGCTGATTTGCTCTGAACTGACATTTGAGTGTTCATTTCCAGCTCTAGATGGATGCCAGGCTTAGGCTTAGTCTCAAGTTGGAGAAAGAAAATACGTGAGAATGTAGATTGTGCCAGGGCAAAGCTGAGTGTCTGGCAGATAGGGCCAAATCTGGAGCCAGAACCAAAAGGTAGCTAAGGCTTGCGCTGACGGGGGGCTAACTGGGATGGATTTGGACCCAGGGCCACCAGCCACTGACAAGGGTTGTATATGGGGGAACGTGAGGTCGTGAGGAGAGAAGCCAGGGGAATTGTCCAGCAAGATTTGAGTCTTGGCCCTCACCATGTGTTCCTTCAGCTTGAGTCTCTAATCAGATATACAGAGATTTGTGGGTTGTGGAGTGGGGTTTTGCTCAGAAAAAGCCATGTACTGGTGGGAGGGGAGCTCCCACCGCTCTTGGGACTTACTTAAGGCACTTCAGTCTCGAGGGGGTCATCCTGCCTGACAACGTGATGCCTCAGCACTCTGGCTTTCAGAGAGCCCTGGTCCGTGCACCCAGCTCTGAGCTGGTCAGGAGAAGCCCCACCAGAAATGTAGTAGGGACCTGGACATGCTGGGAGATACCTTGCTGCGGGGCTGCCATGCTGGTCATGGGGCAGCAGTGCTATGGCTTCACAGGGTTGTCCTCTGAGGTGCCACCTCGATCCTTGGAGCTTTTCAAGACCGGGCTGGATCAACCTCATAGCTGACCCTGCTTGGATTAGGGGGTGGGACTAGAGACATCTCTTCCCCGCAGTTTACCCTGAGACCCTGTGCTGCTGGGGATGAGCAGAGACTCCTCCATGTGAGGGAAGGGGCCAAAGGTATTGCCTAGAGCTCTATAGCATCCAAAACAAGGCCAGGGCCTCTTCTCTGGCCATGAAGCCAAGCAGCAAGGCACAGCTCAACCCCTAAGGCTATACCCACCAGCGAGGGGACCTAATCCACAATGGGCCCAGCCCTTGCACCTGGGAGAGGGCTGGTTGGCCCAGACCAACTCATCCAGGACATGGACACACAGCCTGAGCAGCTGGGGGACAGCTTGAACCTGTAAATTTGTTAGGATAGACATCGACCCAGAGCTGTCTGGAGCGCCATGGCAGCCTCCACACCCTGGCATCCCAGTCCCTTGAGCATACTGAGAAGTGTTGGCTTGCTTTGGCTAACCCATTGAGCATGGCTTCTCAGGGGGGTTAAAGCTGTGCCCAGGTCTAAAGTGGTAGTGGACTTTGGTAGGAAGAGGTTTAAATAGCTCCCAGGTCCTGTCTGATCTTCCTGGTCTAGGAGGTGAATAAGAGGATAGTTTTCTCAGGTCATGCTTGCATTGTGTGGATGTTTTCCCACCTGGTGATGTTGCTATTCCGTGTAAAAGTTGACATTCACCCGCACTGTGTGTCACATTGGAGAGACGTTGTCTGGATGAGATGTATGCAGCAGGGCTATGCCTGTGGAGAAGCCCTATTCGTAAGGAGAAGGGCGAAGAGCAGAGCCTAACCCCAACCTCAGCCAGAGGACACACACGGACATCAGTGGGACCAGTCCAGCATCAAATCACAAGGGCCCATAAACCAGTTTAGAGCCCCTGGTGAGTCCACATGCCTCTCTTCTCTGCCCAAAAAGTACCAACCTGCCCAATTGTACACAATGATCTTGCAACTGTTGATGAGGCTCTTGCAGGTAGAG